TTAAATTATATTCAATCATTGAGGAAAAACCTCTACATAATTTAAAATCGCTTAAATCTAAAATAAATGGGAAAAAAAAAACGAAAGTCACATTTTATTTATTTATGTATCTGCTATATGTTTGTCGCGTACGACATTAAGCAAAATCTGTAAAATTCAAGAATCAAATAAATGACAAACAGGAACATTTTATTACGACTATAACATGTAAAATGTTGTTGAATGATGTTAATTTTTTTTTTTATCATTTTGAATAGCTTGTATTTAATCATTGTTAAATTATAAGACCGTTTATATCCACAATGCAGTACGAATGCAACAAACATGGCGACGACGGTTTGTTTATATTTTACAAGTCATTGGTCATTTATTATTTCATTTATACATAGCACCAAACTACTTGTATGTTTATACAACTTAGATCAATTGTGTACAAAGACCATGCCATTGTATACACTCGAGAGCACAGGTTAGGAAACCCTTGAGGTCATTTTCACACTTCCGATCTCCGATCATTTTAACACACTTGGCCGGTCATTACAATCGGCCGATTACTGCCCTTTGGCCGATGACAGAATTTCTGGGTTGGAAAAAGTGGCCGGTATAATGAGGGGAAATTACCTATGCTTCTTACAATTTGTTACCAAAAAAGTGGCCCGTGTCCGGTTTTCAGGGGTGGCCGGTATTATTAAAATTTATTGGTAAAAGAATGTTAAGATTTCTGCCGGGACTTTTAAAATCGGCCAATATTGAGGGAGAACCGGTATTCAGGGGGGGGGGGGGGGTTGAGAAGTTTCACTGTATTCTATTTTAATTATAACACGTCTGTAGCATTTTTTATCCAATTTCTGATTTTTTTGAAAACTAATTCATGGGTATGACCCTTAGTTAATTGGAAAATGGCAGATCCTATGATTTCCTTGACTTGTTTCTTCCTTCTTAAAGGTGTTTTTTTTTCAAGTTTGAAAAAAGAAAAGTCAAAAGGTCAAAGATGTGGCAAATTTTGTAAATGTGAAAAAAAAACATTTACTTTCTGTTTATCCTGAAAACTCCTTTACTCCTCAGGGTGTGCGGGTTTGGACACTGTCATGAAGAAAATTAATGTAGTGGATTCCTGATTCTGTGTCCTTCCTCTAATAAACCTTTTGATTTTTTGTAACAAATTTCCTTTCTAAACTCCTCCAGAAATTAAACTGTCTCCCCGAATACGAATTTGAACAACAATACGACTAATATGAAAGAAAATTTGACATAAATCTTCTTTGTGCTCTTGCAATTCTTCGCTCTTGTCAGACCTTCGCTGTTTGTATCAAACACATCTTTATGGTTATTTTTTTTGGGAGTTTTAAACAATAGATTAAAGTTTCATTATCTGTTTGAATATTAAACAAACGTGGATAACTTTAATTACTGATATTCTAAAATAATTGTTAAGACATTCGTACACTCTGTTGTTTTCACTCATTTTTCAAAATATAGGTTGACCTTTGAGTACTAAGCTTGCTAACCGTCAAACGTTTCTTAAAAACAGCGTAAACTACTCCCAAAACGAAATGTCTATCAAAGAGCTGAAGGCACGAACCATCAATATCTGCCTTTAATTTTAGACAAAATTTAAGTTTAAAATCACAAAGCCTATCATATGTTATTTCGTAGAGCACAATGTCATGGTACGCTACATATAATTTTTTGGCACACAGGCGACCGTCTTTACCACATGCGCAGAGACAAATATACCTATGAAGTTAAATATTGCCTAAAAACGCCGATTTTACGGCAGTTATTTCGAAATTTGAATGTGGCCACACTCAAGTACCCTTTCCAAACTTTGCATGCATGAAAATATTACATTTATGCACCTTCATGCAAAATATCTAAGAGGTACTCGCGTGTGGCCAATATGAATTTTACATTATATGAATGTTGAACTTTCAGAAATTGAAGCAAGATCCTCCATTTCAGTAGTAATTACAAGTTAATCATATGCGTAAATACCCTAAATTAGTTATTAGTATATCAGATTTATTCTTGATAATTATATAATCCCCAATTTGTCAATAATGTTGTGATAGAATATCTTACATTGTCATTTAATATGTGTTCTTTCATATAAAATTTAAAATTACGCTCTTTTCTTTCATGCTTACGTACATGATACAATGATGACGTCATAATTTGACCGTGAGGTCTACTTCATCTGCGCAAAAATAATTTGAAGAAATTTGTCAAAATAATTTTATAATTAGAAAAAAGTGTTGAGAATTGATTTGTGTCGAGTTTCCAGTTTGTTGCCAGCTTGCCAGCACTAGATGTTGAATGTAATTCCTTGTTTCAAATCTTTTTTATAAACATAAAAAAATGTCTAATCCGAAGTTGATATCTAAAATTCATGTAACTCTATGTGCATTCTAGGATGCATAAAAAGTACATAGTTTTATTTGTTTACACTGATATTTCAATTGAAGAAATATATGGCATTTATGAATATTATGCATTTAAGATTACAGTTAGTAAGCTAACATTATTTTAAAACTCTAAGCTCTAAAACGCATGTGCTTTCTCTCTCGCCATCTCTCTCTCCGTAGCTTTTCCCTTCTTTATTAACCTTTTACGATGTCTTAGAACTTTTTATTTGGCATACCTTTAAAAAATAAAACGACGCAGATTTTTTTCCCGAACGAAAAAAAACGAAAGAAAAATTTATTGGTAATCTAATAGCTCAGAAATTGAATAACTCGGGATGATCTATCCGCACACGTATACCTTATAGAAGAAGTACGTCTCGTAACTACTATAGAAATTGGTCAAATGTGTCCGAAATTTTGTAACATCTGAATGCATTTTGAGGTAAATACCGAGGTTACCCGATTGAAAAGAATAAAAATAAACATGGATTTTGAACCCTAATTTACCTTTTAGTAGTAACTGGTTTGCCTTGCGGCTTTCTCAATCACATCTTGTGATCAGACATAACATGGATCGGACATATTACTGAATTATCTACAGACAGAAGAAAATATCTGCAGAAGTAATGTTAAGTGTTACTTGGGGAAGACAATTATTTAAAATAAGTGAAAAAAAATTAAGCTTTCATTTTCACTCCATTCTATATACATAACACCTATATATCTCAGTACAGTGAACGCGAATTGGGATATGTAATTTTGTTACTTAGGATGCCCCTCCACTATGACTAATAGTTAGATTAGTTTCGCTTCAAATATAAAAAAAAAACTGTGGTAATGTAGTGATTTTCACGGATAAAGGAACAGGAAGAGAACAAAAATACAGCGATAAATAATCTACTGAAAAAGTAGAGGAAGTGGTCGAAATATAATTCGTCCCATTCCCGGGTACATGTAATACTATTCTAACCGTGCTGAGTATGCATGGCGATTTTAAATATTTTTTATATACAAACTAGTGTAATATTGGAGACAAACAACAATCCTTTGCTTATTAAAATACTTGATTTTTTCAACAATAACATAAGCGCAGATTTTTTTTAATGCAGTACAACAATAATATAATTTAAGATTAAAGGATTAAAACGCATGTCTTACGTCACGCCCCCCCCCCCACCAAGACAAAATAGAAGTGATAGCGATATAGAACATGAGAATTAAAAATACACTGTATAATTTTCCTTAAAGGACAAGATACATACCTGAAAGAAAAAAATCTAAATCCAAGAACGTGTGATATCAATATTATCTAGCGGACTATGATATACCAGGTAATATAACTAGAAACACTCGAATTTAGGGCTACAATCTATACATATTTATATTTCAAATCAAATTCATGTTACTTCCACCCCTGCCCCCCCCCCCCCCCTTCTTTAAAACTTCGAGAATTCTGCAAGACATATATTTTATTGTCAAAATGCACGAATAATCGGGGTTCGTCACATACACAAAAACAAACGTACTTACTTTGATAATTCTATTTCTTTATAATAGGCCCAGATTCTTGTTTAGAAAAAGATTTAACAATTACTGCGCCGGGCTTCACTTAATATTTATCCAGTCACAAAATTTGAAATTTTTTTAGAATTTATTATATGTATATCAGATAAAAATTATGTCATATAATGCAGTAACATATATCTAGAGTACTAAATACTTTTAAAACTACATGTACAAGAAAAGAACGATTGTAACGCTCGGGTGTACAAAAGTAAGCAGTTAACCGTAGAATGTTCTATAGCAAAGGACGATGTTATGACGTTACGTTACAAATAATGACGTTCCTCATGTAAATTTCATTCAAAACAATGCCATACTGTCAAATCTCTTCTTGAAAAAGTATTATAGATATCTGAAAAAGGAAAATAGTTATGAAAAGCTACAAGTCTACAATATCTTTATTGAAATTCTCATAGATTTTTTAGTTAAGGCGTATTTCGATGGTTCGTGGCTTTAGCTCTTTATGTGTCTCAAAGTCAATCATACATCATCAAATATTATTTGTTGAAATTTGACAAACAGTACATAAGTTGTAATATTATTTTTGTTGGCAAGGACGGTACACATTTTTGATGCCCATTATATATTTTTTTTATCATCGAAATCCACCTGATCATTTGTATATAAAACAGGCATTGAATGCTGTAAATTTCACATATTTCAGTGAATGTCTCTTTTAGATTTTAACAAGTTTTACAGCAGCTTTAATGATGCTTTTATTTTCTGTCTAGTTTACTGATTCTTTACCATTCATTTATAATGCAGTGTCTCGAATACCCCTTGTTTTCCAGCTTCTCACAATGAAACTATGTGATGAAAAGTGGTCACATATATTGTTATAAATTCATTAAAGATTAAATAATGAGAGAAAGTCAAGCTTAATGTCATTTGATATTTGTATTGAATGTCATACAGTTCAGGACATTATTTAGTGAAAAGTCCTCGTAGAACATTTTATTATCATTTATAAGAAAGAAAAATTTTATATTTTCTGCAGGTCCCCAAGGTAACACTATTGTTGACCAGTGGAGAATGATATGGCAGGAAGACGTGGAATACATCACTTTGTTGACCAATCTTACTGAGGGACCAAAGGTTTGAAAATCCAATGAATACTTCAAACAGGAACTTATGTCCTCGCCATTTTTGCATTTTTCTAAGCTGGGCGAAAGGGGGCAAATTCAAAGAAAATTGTATTTAATTTCCTAAACAGAAATATCACCCGGCAAATTAAAATATGAAAAGCATGTGCTGGCAAGTGCGAATATAACATGGAAGGGAAATACATTATAAACCTTATATAGAAGTATACACAGATTGCTCAATCCTTTATTTTAACATTGTTATCATTTCTTTTTATTTCTAACATATGATTCTAGATCTAACAATGTAAACAGTTTAATTCCTATATTGTTTTCAATAAAAGGATTCACATGCGCTTGAAATATCCTATTTAAAGGTAAAGTATTGGCCAAATGAGAGGGAAGAACTAAAACTAGGTCCATTCTCCGTGAAATTGATTGAAGAAAAAGTATATGCATACTATGTTGTTAGGAAAATGACTCTTTCGAGAAAGAAGGTAATTTTACAATATAGTATTCAGCCTGTTTAAATCACAGTTTTCTTTTATTCCTTCTTCTTCTGTTACAAACTACTACTGCTGCTAACATCTGTTTATTAGGTTTCTGGGTCAAGGACAGTTGTACAGTTCCATTTCACAAGATGGCCTGACCACGGGAAGCCAAATCCTCTGAACTTGATCATGTTTCTCAGACACTTCCGGCATAAAATGAGACCTACCAATCATCCAATTGTTGTTCATTGCAGGTCTGGGTGTACATTTCTATCCTCTGAAGATCAAAATGTTGTCAAAATTTTATACTTTTAAAAAAAAATAGAACTCTGAAAATAGGTTTCCAGTTGCTTTTTATATAATTGATATCAATAGATGAATATATGAAACATATATTATTTGAAAAAAAGGAATCTAAAAAATCAAATAAATAACGACATAATGAATACATATACATACATGGAACAAATTAAAACAGTCGTGTTAAATATTTCTTTCTTGTTTTTACCCCAAATATCTTTAAGGGCAGATGATTGAAACAGTTTTTTTTTCTTTGGAGGAGACTAAATATCATGTCACAAGTCTAGAAAAGTTAATAATTCCTAGATTTTTTTCTCATAAGACTCGGAAAATGAAATAAACTTGGAAAATATTAGTAATATTTCAATATAATCACAAATATGGATAGAAGATACTTAGTACAGGTTTGTAGATGAAAACAAATTTCAGAGTGTGTTACCTTGATGCTCAAAGTGTAATATAAACTTTAGAAAAATAAACCAAGCCATGTGAATTTTTTTAGGAAAACCAAAATGGTAAAAATTTGCCTATGTGATATTACTGATGTTTTGTCATTTTGTTTTTCCTCATAAAATTCACCTGGCTTGGTATATTTTTCTAAAGTTTATATTACACTTTTAGAACCTGGGTATTAAATTCTGAAATTGGTTTTTACCTAACCTTTACTGTGTGACATTTGTAAATATTTTTATTGAACTATTACTTATATTTTTTAAGTCTTTTTCATTTTCCATTTCTTACAAGATTTTTTTTTAATTATCCACATTTCTTACAGTGGCTGGAACGTTATTGTTGACAAACCAATCGTGTAGAATCGTGAGTGTATCGTGAGTGATCGTTCGTGTAACGTGCGAGATCGTTCGTGTATCAGACTCAATCGTGTGCGTTTTTAATCGTGCGAGATCGTGCGTTTAGAATCGTGTAAATTTCGTTTTGTAAGTTTTTATCGGAATGTTATTTGTAAAAAAGCATTTCCCTTCTTTGTTTTTCTTAATTTATTAATTAAAATCCAAATAAAATGAAAAAGCGCATTTTACATAATAGAATGCAGAACGAACTAATTATCGCCCGTAAACAAGCAATATAGTAAGTCGTACAATATTAAGTTCTCGTCAAATAGCGCGATCAATATTGTGATAAACCGTACTTAGATCTTTAACGCCTTTTTGAAAAATCTGATTTTAATTATTATTTACTTCTTATTGTGGTCAAGATAATCTTGAAATCAATTCATTGAAAATAAATATTTTTTTTTTTTTACAAAGAAATAAACATTTCTCAATGCTTACATAACTATAGTTAGTCGACAAATATACATGGACACGGCATGATTTTCGGGAGTTTTGATTATCTGTGTTTATCTCTTGAGCCTATTTGTAATTAATTAATTTTAAATTTCTGCAAATAAAAAAGTTGAATAATTGGCAAGTTTATCAGACATTGAATCATTGGAAACATAAGGATAAAATTTGTAATTATAATTCAAGTCATTCCATGCTGCCATTTTTGTTCAATCGTATCCCCCTTTCTGCATATCATGATATCCAATTCAATCAAATTATACGATCCACATACATGTACATCGTCTAATAGAACGAACAAAATCCGTTTTTTTTTATCGGAGAATTACCTTAGATATAATTATTTTTAATCTAAAATATAAAGTCTTGCATATAATTAGTTACAGAAATATCATTTTCCGTTTTTTTCTTCAAAGTCTATGAAATAATATTGATAATTCTTTGAAATCTTAAATAAGTATTAAGCCGTATTTCGTTTTGAAAATATTGAATCCTAAATATTTTGAACTATTTTGAGTGAAGAATCGTGCGTTTGCGTTAACAATCGTGTAAGATCGTGTAACGTGTAGAATCGTGAACGTGAAAGATCGTTCGTGTAACAGGTTTAATCGTGCGTTAATCGTGCGGAATCGTTCGTGTAACGTGATCGTTCTTGTAAGTTGTCAACAATAACGTTCCAGCCACTGTAACTTGTAACATGATATTTAGTCTCTTCCAAAGAAAAAATCTGATTACCTGTCCTTAATTAATGTTTTAATTAGCGCGGGAATCGGTAGAACCGGGACATTCATTGCTCTGGACGTTCTGTCGAGGTACGGAGAGGAACATGACAAAATCAACGTCATCGAGTTCGTTAAGGCCATGCATAAAGACAGGATGACAATGATTCAAAACGTTGTAAGTTGTTTATTGTGTGAGTCTCTTGCTTTACGTGTCAATTTTGAATTTTTAAAATCGGAAGAAAAATTCCATGTACATATGTACCATCCTTGAATCTTATCTCATTTGTAATGTATTTAAGGATCACTAATTCTGTTTTACCAGGTTATGTAACAAGTTTTTTAAAAAAGATTTTAAGCAAATAAACTACATGTGGATATTTAACTGAAAGAAATTAATGTTTTAAAATAAATTTCAGTTGAAAGATATCTTGTGTACTTAACATCAGCTGTGAAGGAACGAGAGCAATATTACAATGCAGTAAATGTATCGGTAATTTTTTTAACATGTTTCTGATTCTATCAGTTCAAAAGTTAATTAATAACATTAGTGTTAGAAATTTTTTGGGTTTTTTGACATTTTTAGTCGTTTACCAGAGCTGAAGAGTTCATTTCTGCGCAATTTCCGGTATCAGGAGCCACCATTGACCTTGCTCGTTTGCTGATTGATCAGGAGTCTCCATTCCTGATCTCACTGAACCCTTTATCAGAAATTAACGAGGTGAAAAATATACTTTCATTTAATTTTTTATTTCAAATAAACGAATTTCTTATTGGTACCAATATTTTCTTTCTCTTAAACAAGGTAAAAGATTGAGTTGAGAACACTATCAAGAAGATTGATTTGGCCCCATATGAAATCTCAAAGAGTACACAGCAAAGGATTACACACAACATTCGAATAACAGACATTAAAATCAAAAGGAAACACGTACGTTAATCTTCATTTTGATTTATATACGACAGAACATATATAGATTATGGATTCGAAGATTTACCTGAATGTGAAAGAATATAAAAAATTTAAAATAGGAATTTTAGAATGTGAAACTCAAACATTGAGATTACAAGGTTTTAAAAATAAAATTATATGTTTCCCCCATAAAATAATTCCCCGAAAAACAATATTTATCTTTAAAAAAATAAAAGTCAGAAGGAATCTTCTACATATTTTTCACATCATCCGTAGGATGAATGTCATGAAGTGCAGGTATTTGAATGTCTTGATTGGAGTTTATCTGAGTTTCTACCAGCACAAACCTCTTCAATAATAAATTTGATAAAACAGTGTTATGGGTCAGAATAACCCTAAATGCCAGCAAAGATCAATAACACAATTTAAACTTAACAAAAGTTTATTTACAGTAATATATAATAAGTATATGAAACATAAAGTACAAACTTAGCAAGAATCTTAAAATACATACATCAGAGTGTCCGCTGCTGCACACAATGTCCCAGTAAAAATATATCCCAGTTGTATCTCAATGGTGCTCATACGACAAAGTATAGTATCTCTATGCATCGAATTGACAGGGTATTTATACAGTAATATAAATCTAGGATATTCTAGAAATTGTTAAAACATGATATTACTGGAACAATCTGGACATACACAAAATTTAAGAATGTTCTTGATAAAATGACCGAACATGTTGACCACTCTGGAATGTTCAAGAAACTTAATGTTACTAATTATATACATAATGAAACAATACACATCTCACAACACCTCCCCCCTTAAAAAGTTTGAATGTCAATGAAAAACTTAAATTGTAAAACATGTACATTAATACAAAATCTAGTATGTTTACGATACTCTTGACAAGGCGTCTGCAATAACATTGTCTTTGCCTTTGATATGCTTAATTGTTATGTTGTATTCCTGTAACAACAAACTCCATCTAGTCAGTCTTTGATTCTTATTTGACAATTTATGCAAAAATGTCAGGGGGTTGTGATCAGTATACACAAGAATTGGATGCAAAGTAACATTCAAATAAATATCAAAATGCTGTAAAGCTAACAACAAAGCAAGGCATTCTTTTTCAATAGTAGAATAATTTCGTTGACATTTTGTAAGTTTCTTTGAAAAATAAGAAACAACTCTATCTACATTATCACTATGTTCTTGAAACAAAGCTGCCCCGATTCCAACATCACTAGCGTCAACAGTAAGCTTAAATTGCTTACAAAAATCTGGAGTTGACAGAACTGGGTTGCTCATCAGGACAGATTTGATTTTATGAAAGGATTTTTCACAGTCCTTTGTCCATTTAAAGTTAACCCTCTTTTGTAAAAGATTTGTAAGTGGACTAACAACTGAGGAAAAATTTGGACAAAATTTTCTGTAAAACCCAGCCATGCCCAAAATCCTCATTAATTCTTTCTTGTTTGTAGGAATCGGGAACTTTGCAATAGCTTCCACTTTAGCCATAATGTAACATAACCTTGACCTACTTTATGACCTAAATACTCTACATAAGCATGACAAAATTCGCTCTTCTCAAGATTCACAGTTAAGTTTGCTTTAGCTAAAATGTCAAATAAAGCACGCATGATTCGGAGATGTTCGTCCCATGTGTTGCTGTATATGATGACATCATCAATGTAGGCCTCGCATCCCTCAAGGTCTTGAAGAAGGGAGTGAATCATCCTTTGGAATGTAGCCGGTGCGTTTTTCATGCCAAAAGGCATTACTTTATACTGGTAAAGTCCATCTGGTGTAGCAAAAGCAGATATTTCTTTTGCTCTTTCTGTTAACGGTACTTGCCAGTAGCCTTTCAACAGGTCAAATTTACTGACAAATTCCGCGTTTCCAATGTTGTCAATACAATCATCGATTCTAGGTATTGGATATGAATCAGTTTTGGTAACAGAATTCACCTTTCTAAAGTCTGTACATAATCGGTAAGAACCGTCCTGTTTTGGTACAAGAATACACGGTGAGCTCCAATCACTTTTACTAGGTTCAACAATGTCATTGTCCAACATGTACTGCACTTCCCTTCTTAGGTACTGCAATTTTATTGGATTCAGACGGTACGGATGTTGTTTGATAGGCAGAGCGTCGCCAACTATAACATCATGACAAGCTGCATTAGTTTTCTTTGGAACATCCGAGAAGATTTGATGATACTCATTCATCAAGTTTTTAACTTGTTCTTTTTGGTGAATGTTCAAATGTCCAAGTTTGGCATCAAAATCAGCCAAAATTTCTGAGTTTTTCAAACGAAGACTCTGATTACAATCTTTCTCATTCATTTCTACACTCGTATCACTTTCAATACAATTTTGAACAGTCTTAGCATTGGCTAAAGTGGAGACTGGTTTTACAGAATTTCGGTCACACCTTTCAAAATACTCTTTTAACATGTTAATGTGACAAACCCGTTTCTCTTTACGTCGACCTGGTGTCTTAACTACATAGTTTACATCACTGATCTTGCTTTCAATTTCATAAGGGCCATAAAATCTGGCCTGTAAAGGATGACCAGGAATAGGTAAAAATACAAGAACCTTATCACCTGGCTTAAACACCCTATTTCTGGCATCTTTGTCATACCACATTTTCATTTTCATCTGAGAATTCTTCAAATTTTCTTGTGCTAATTTACAAGCATTGTAAATCTTTTCTTTGAAATCAGACACATAATCTAAAAGATTAAGATCACTAGTCTCAGTCAGCCACTTTTCCTTCAACAATTTCAAAGGACCTCTAACTGTATGACCGAACACTAATTCAAAAGGACTGAACCCAAGAGACTCCTGGACTGCTTCTCGTGCAGCAAATAGCACAAGATGAACACCTTCGTCCCATTCTTTTTCATACTGGTAACAATAGGTCTTCAGCATTGTTTTTAGGGTTTGATGAAAACGTTCTAGCGCTCCCTAGGACTCAGGATGATAAGCAGTTGATCTATATTGCCTTATACCCAACTCATGCATGACTTGCTGGAACAACCCCGACATAAAATTTGAGCCTTGATCCGACTGAATTGCCTTGGGTGCTCCTACAAAACTGAAAAACTTGGTTAGGGCCTTAACTATGCTCTTTGCCTTTATATTCCTAAGAGGTATGGCTTCAGGAAATCGAGTGGATGTACACATAATGGTAAGTAAATACTGGTTTCCAGATCTAGTCCTAGGCAAAGGTCCTACACAATCCACCAACACTCGACTAAACGGTTCTTCAAAAGCTGGAATGGGTTGGAGAGGAGCAGATGGTATCTTCTGATTTGGTTTACCTACCATCTGACAGACATGGCATGACTTGCAAAACTTCGAAACATCCTTTCTTAGCTTAGGCCAATAAGAATGACTCAAAATCCTATTAGAAGTCTTATTGATACCTAAATGACCAGCCATAGGTGTATCGTGAGCTAAACTCATGACATCTCGACGATAAGCAGCTGGGACCACTATCTGGTGAACAACACGCCACACTTCATCTGGAGAAGCGTCAGGTGGTCGCCATTTTCGAATAAGGATGCCATCTTTCATATAGAAGCATTCTCCAACTTTAGTAGCCTCTTCTGGTGGAAGTGCCCTCTTACTAAGTTGAATGATATCTGGGTCTTTATGTTGTGCTGAAAGTAACTGCTCTCGGCTTAGGATATCCTTGCCTTGGCTAACTAGTGGATGCAACTCATCATCCTCACCACCAAATTTTGGTAAAAGTTCTTTCTTCTCTTGCTTCTTGATATTGTGTGGTTCCATACTTGTTTGAGTGCCATCAAGGTCAGATAAGAAAGTGTCATTCAAATCAATATCAACAGAGGAATTCGTCTCGGTTAAGACTTGAGTATGGTATGCCTCCATTTCTCGTCTTCTAGCCATCGCTCTAGTAACAGCACAGGCTGGATAAATGTCATCATCTTCATCATCGCACATGACATTGGAAGTGATTTTCTCACAAACTATAGGATCAGGTACAACCTTCCCACCAGCTAAATCGTTGCCTAACAACAAAGAAATGCCTGGAACGGGAAGAGTAGGTCGAACACCTACGATAACAGGTCCAGTAACTAAATCTGACTTCAATCTAATTCTATGCAGGGGAACATCAATGACGCCTAGCTCCACACCCTGTAATAAAACTGACCCACCAGTAGAAGTCTGCTCAGACAAAGGAAGCACGCCCTCTAACAATAACGTCTGTGCAGCACCAGTATCTCTCAAAATCTGGACAGGTTTTATTTCGCTAGAGTCACCGAGTGAAACAAATCCCTGAGACATAAAGGGCTTATAATCCTCCATAGAATCAATAGAACTGGACTGTGAACCCTGGACATCAGGAGTGTCAGAACAAATCGAAACTAAGGCTTCTCTATCACCTCTAGCTGCCGCACAAGCATGTGGTTGAGTTTTATCAAAATCATTTTTTCTCTTAAGTTTAAAGCATTCACTGATCAGATGACCCTTTTTCTTACAATAACTACAAGTAGGAAGCGACCCTATTCCAGACGATCCTTCAACACGTCCTGGACCGGACTTAAAACCACCTTGGGATGGAGACTGGGAACTTGTGAAAGACTGAGACCCTGAACCACTCTTTTTATATGTGTCTGAATTGGTAGAATTACTGCTAGTCTGAGATCTTGAAACAAAATTCTTTTTATGAGACAGAGCATAAGTATCAGATATGACTGCTGCCTCTTCAAGAGTTTTCACATTCTTATCTTCTAAATGTGTTTTCAAATCTTGAGAAACACATTCCTTAAACTCTTCTACCAGGATGACTTGTCGCAAATTAGCAAAAGTTTTATCAAGTTTCTTAGATCTAAACCAGTGATCGAATAAATCTTCCTTCTCTCGTGAAAATTCAACAAATGTTTGATTATCAAACTTTCTATACTTTCTGAACTTTTGTCTATACGCTTCAGGTACTAATTCATAAGCTTTTAATATTGCTGCTTTGACCTTCTCATAGTCTGAACTCTCAGCTACCCCTAGTGCAGAGTATACCTCAGCTGCTTTTCCAACCAGTACACTTTGTAACATTGTTGACCAAACATTTTGTGGCCATTTAAGATTCTCTGCGACCTTTTCGAATTGGGGAAAATATTTGTCTACAGATTTTTCTTGAAATTTTGGAACTAACCTAATATTTTTTGCTGCATCAAATTCAGTCTTGACAAATGATGCTTCTGGTTGGTGCTGTAATCTTAATTTCTCTAATTCAAAGTGCTCTTGTCTTTCTAATTTGTCTAATTCAAATTTTCGTTCACGCTGTCGTTCTTCTCTTTCTCTTTCTCGCTCTTCTCTATCTAATTTTTTTCT